GGCAATAAACTGACTCGCTTCTGTGCCAAATTTATTATGGCACCTAGTTTGTCACCAACAAACATTTGTCAAATTAAATGGCATAAAGAATCATATTTGGTCCAACCATATTGGGTCCAGGTACCCATTCATTCCTTCATCAAATTTTTACTCTGAGGCCAGGCGTGGTGGCTCATGCGCGTAATCCCAGCACTTTGGGAGGCAGAGATGAGAGGATTGCCTGAGTCAAGGTTCGTGACCAGCCTGGGCAACATGGTGAGACCTCATATGTACAATCAAAAAAAAAAAAAAAATTAGCCAGACGTGGTGGCACCCACCTGTAGTCCCAGCTTCTTGGAAGACTGAAGTGGAAGCATTGCCTGAACCCAGCTGATTGAGGCTGCAGTGACTGTAAGTGTGCCACTGCCCTCCAGCCTGGTTGAAGTGACACTCTGACAAAAAAAACCTATCTTTACTCTGCACCCACTACATGTTAGACACTGTTGTAAGCACTAGGGATATACAGGGGAACTTCTCTTCTAAGCATATCCTCATTGTGTTCCCTACAGGAGTTCTCAAGGCAGTGGCTGGAGCTTGGTAGCCCCTGAGGCCCTCCAAGGAAAGCAGAAGTGGGAATCTCTTGATGCTTCCTTTAAAATATCAAATTATTTCAAAGCGTTTTTCTCAGCATCTTCTTGTATCCCTGTTTTGTGGAGTCCCAAGCAAGGGCTTTGGGTGCTTTTGGGTAAACCTATATTAAGAACAGAAATCAACCTTAAGCTATTGTTGGCTGAACAGAGCCAAGGAGCAGTAATTTACATTGGGATTTCTGTCATGTGCCCAGGCTTTTCTGAATAAGGTAGTGTTGAGGGTTAATTGTGTCCCCCAGGTGATATGTTGTAGTCCTAACCTCCAGAACCTTAGAACGTGACCTTGTTTGGAAACAGGGTTGCAGATGTAATGAATTAAGTGTGGGCCCTTATATCCAACAGGACCAATGTCTTTATAGCAAGAGGACACGGAAACACAGCATCCTTCTTACGAAGACCAGGTTTTGCAAATATAATCTAGAAACCTCAGACTGTGACAGAAAAAAATTCCCAGCATTGTCTTACTCATTGCAGGCTGCATATCATGAACCAAGTAAATGCTTTTGGAGTTGGGAGAGAAACTGTTTCTTCTTCCTGGATCATCATCTGCCTTTGTTGAGTATTTTTTTAACCTTACTTTTCCTGGAAGTCTACTATATTATACTTTTTATATAGAGTCTAAAATTTTTAAAATGGACTCAAACTCACAATTTAATAAAGATATTGCTAATTTGGTGGCATGGTGATGCAACAAAGAACCTTAATCTTTATAATATTGTGACTTAAACATAAAACAGAAATGGGTTTGAACCTTGGCAGGCTTGAGGGCTCCTCCGGAGTCTGTCTCTCTGCCCCAAAGGCCTTCAGTAGAGCTGTTGTCCAGTCTCCTGCTGCCCGGATGTGTACACTGAAGAAGTCCTCCTGGGGGGCAGAGGTGAGGGTGAAGGGGTGCCACTCCAGCGAGGATATGGCTGGGCACTGCACCAAGATGTACTGCCCTGGTGCCATTTTAAAGCCGCGCTTTTTCATGTGAAGTTCCAGGACTCCAGAGGGGTGGCTTACCACCTACAGGACAGTAAGAGATTTGTTGATCTTTTGTCTCAGATTGAATGATAAGAAACACTGTTCATTCCACAAAAGGTGTTCACCCATCCCATCTGCTATAAGCTTCCAATGCTACTGGCCAACACTTCTGGGTTTGCAACTTCAGTAAGAGAAAGATGTTTATCTCTTTCAGAGCGCCACGCTTGAAATCTGGTAGCTGCACCCAGGGCCAATATGGTGCCTGCCTCACATGTGAGTCTATGTCTCAGCGGCCAGACTTCACACAGCACAGTTAGCCAGATCCAAGTGAATAGAAGCTGGCATACAAAGGGAGACCCCCAAAACACCAGATTAATTTATAAAAATTGTGTATTTATTCCCATGTGTTTAAACTTTAGTCATCTACAAAGTACTCTCCATTTGATGCAATCAATACACCTATCAAGATGCTTTTTCTACTGCTCAAAACAGTTTTTGATGCCTTTTAGTGCTTCTGCTGTTTTTTGTTTCACCTCTTTCACAAAAGATGTGGAAGAGGTGAAAAGTCCTTTGAGGACTTTTTTTAACCTAGGAAGTCAAAAAACAGTCATGCTCATGTGAAATTGGGTGAATAGGGAGGGTGGGGCACCTGGACCATGGCATTTTTTTGTCGAAACCTGCTGAACACTCAGCGTGGTGGGGACAGGTGTGCTTGTAAATCACCCATCTTAAAATGGGCAAATGCATTGAAAGAATCTCCAAAAAAATTCACCGAAGCCAAATGTAGTCTCTCACAACACTAGGTGGTACACTGATAGTGATGGATTTCTTGAACACTTATCTAGTGGGGGGAGACTACTACAAAAGGCCCACCCTCCAAAAGATAATTCCAGGTTTTTTTGGGTACCCTCTTTGTATTATGATGTTTACAGTTATTCAAATAGTAATCATATTAGCTCTAGGAACAGTTTGTTAGCTTTTTCAGTGACCTGCAGTTTTCCTCAAACTCTTGTGAATTAACCTTCTCATTTCTTCAGGTTAAGTGAGAAGCAATCGTCAAACTCACTCTGAATATTTTGCTTGTTTTTGTTTTCTTTTATTTTAGTTGGGCCTTGTCTGGTATCCTGTCTCAGCTCTGAGTTTCAGATGTAGAAAAGCATGGTGCCAGGGCTCTTGTAGCTTTTACAAAAGCTTTATACCTTGCTGTTTATCGGAGGAAAAGAACTAATTTCCCTTTTTAGATTTTCATCTTGTTTTATGAAAAATCTCTCTAGGTCCCCATGCATTCTTTGTGACACGAGTTTGTATAAGGGAACAAAATCTAGTATCTGGATACGGTGACAGTATTTTTCCAAAGAGAATTTCACAGCATTATAATTGTTAGTTCTAAGTTTCCCCACTCCCTGTTGATATTTATTCTAAGGCTGCTGTTAAATGGTCTCCCTGGTAACAGCTCTAGTAGGTTTCCAGAAGTTTTACAGTCGGACTTTTGATAAAGCCTGACATCCTTTGGTGCTGAACTTAAAAACAGCAACATAGAAACAGCTTAAAGCAGAAATATGAAGCAATTACTATATATCTGCTTTCATAAAGAGAGTTAAGGAGATATCGTATTCTGTTGAAATCATATTAGCAAAGCAGTATAGGTTTGATTAGCAGAGAATTTCTTACTGGACATTAAAAAAAGAAACTGGGGGAGAGTATTTGGTACCTTTTCACTTTCCTAGTCATGCATTTTTGGTCTTGTTCTGTCTTTTATCATCTTCTTCCAGCATGAGGTAAAAATTGGAGAGCTGGAATGAGCAAGACTGGAAGATGCTACCAGGAGCACTCCACTCATGAGGATGGAGCTCTGTCGATGTCCTTCCTCTCCATTTTGACTTTCCCAGAGTTCCCTCTTGCTCTGAATTTTAGAGGGTATCAGTTTCCCTGTCTTCTGCTCAATAGTCACAGGTTAGAGTGTGTTAATTTGAAAATATTTGTATAAGTGTTTTTGAAAAATTTACATTTTTACATGATGAAAGAAATGGTTATCCTTCCCAAAGCACACTCACTCCCTCTGCTTTTTCCCCCTAGAGAGAGACCAAAATAGAAGACAGATAATTCCAGTGCTGTGCCATAAACCTTTATCAGAATTCTGTGTACTAGTCTGGAGCCCTGATCCCTGGCTTCAGCAAAATTAGTCACACTAAAAGATGCTCAGGATACAAGCAATTATTAGAACAGAAGATGAGCCTCTAAATTACAGACACTTCTGCAATAAAAATGGCAAATTAAAAACTTGGGCTAATAAAAAATTTTCATCTGCACTCAGGCTTTTATTCAGACATAAAGCTACATGCATACCTTGGTAATGACAACTTCTTGTTGAAATCGCCAGAACCTAATTATTCTTTCACATGCATACAAGACCACAGGGCCCACAACCCATTTCCAAGCCTGTGGAGAGGAAAAGGAAATGAAATTAGAATCCAAATATTTTCAGTTTGAACCAAATCAATATATAACATAATGGAGTTTAGACATTTTCCTTTAACTTTGGGCTGGGTTCTCAACAACAAAGATGTCTCCTTCTATTATATATTATAACATCCAATTATTCCTTGAAGTCTACAAGCTTATTTAAGAGATTAAACTCTTCTATATTGGTTTTTATGCTTACTTGATCAATGATGCCTTTATGTAATTAGAAATAATTGAATTTGCAAAGAAATAAAAAAGCAGATTGATGTTTATGTTACATAGGATAGGGTCGTAAATGCTCCCAAACTCAACCAAAGTCAAGGGCTTATACAAAGCTACATTACTCAGCCAACATAGGACATGAGAAATTAAATTAGAAAATTTCAAATAATAATTTTTTGAGCCAACAATGCATCACAACTAGGGAGTCTACCTGAATAAGCACACACAGGCACACACACACATATACAAATTGGTATTTGTTTAAAATATAAAGTTGATTTCTTCGCACCTTAGATTTAAGTGTGCATAACCAGAGCAAAAGGCTCAACAACTGTCTGGAGAAGTGTGAACATTTCCATCCTTAATAAATCAGACACTATGTTAACCTTTTATGAATAGAATCTGCATCACAGATGATCAATTTACCTGCAGGCTATTTTTGTATCAAGTATTGTGTACAACATAAGGTGTCTTCCTCCAGTGAAAGGGAAAGAATGGGAACTTTAAATTTTCTAAAATTTATATCTTATGCTTGGTCTTCTATTAAGCAATCCTCTGAGGCATATGGTATTATCTTAATTTTATCGAAGAGGAAACTAAGCCTCAGTAAAATCAAACACATTTGCAGGTACCCAGCTGTACTAGGGTGTCTGGTAAAGACATGGGCTCAAATGTGCCTGACCACCCAGACTGAGTTCTTCCCAGGACCCCGGGCTGCCATCCTTGTGTGTTACTGTATAATCATGCTTATTTCTATCCAACACTAAAATTGGTACTGAACCTCATTTTACACAACAGTAGGGACTCATGAACACATAGAACTTTAGGAAGTTAAGGGTCCTTGGAAATCTAGTCTCCTTCTCCTTCTCCTTCTCCTCCTCCGCCTCCTCCTCCTCCTCCTCCTCCTCCTCCTCCTCCTCCTTCCGCCACCGCAGCCTCGACCTGCTGGGCTCCGGCGATCCTTCCGCCTCAGCCTCCCAGGTGGGTCTCGAACCCACGGGCTCAGACAATCCACTCACCTCAGCCTCCCAAAGGCGTGGGATTACAGGCTGAGACACCGAGCCCAGCTTCTTCTTCTTTTTTTTTAATTTTGAGTCTGGTTTCACTCTATCGCCTAGGCTGGAGTGCAGTGCCACGGCCATGGCTCACCACAGCCTTGACCTCCTGGGTTCAGGTGATCCTTTCTCTTCAGCCTCCTGAGTAGCTGAGAGTATAGGTATTCACCACCACGCCTGGTTAATTTTTTTATTTTTTATTTTGTAGAGACAAGGTCTCACTATGTTTCCCTGGCTGGTCTTGAACTCTAGACCTCTAGCAATCCTTCTGCCTTGGCCTCCCAAAGTGCTGGGATTATAAGCATGAGCCGTCACATCCAGCCTAATTCTTCTTTTAAAGAAGAAAAAACTTGACATAGTGTGGATGGGTGTGAGGTGCCTGGAGAGACAGAGGGAGATCACAGAGAACCAGGACTCGACAAGTATATTCATTGTGTCTCTATAGTTTCCTCCTTGGTACTCCAAGTTCACCATGACCTTACTCCTCATGGGAGCAGGAAGGTTGTCTCGTTCTTTGGAATGCAGATGCTCACTACTCTCTCATCGATGGACACATCCTTCATTGCTTCTCACCAGCTCACTGGCTCCATCGCTTCTGTTGATAGGTCACAAACTCTTTAGCTTTACTTTTACTTTTTTTGAGCCACCTTTCTTGTTTTTTCTATCTCTTTTTGCTTATTTCTAGGTCCCTTGACATGGCACCTTCTCTCACCCACACCGATACTCTCTGCTTTTTTCCTGGGGGCTTCTTGTTTGCCTGATAATGTCTAGATGTATGCAGGCAGCACAAGGCAATTTGACCCACTTATTATTTTCTGCCTCAGTGGGGTTCAGCAACGTGTTCAGAACACAAAGAGAATAAGCCTTATTGTCCACCTATGCTGTGGGCGGGGGATTGAAGATGATCGGGGTATGAAAAACTAGGAAGCAGTCCTGGGAAGGAAGGAGTTGGACCCGGGGAATGAATTCTTCGGTCTGTGTTGCTTGAATGAACCACAAAGTGTTTTGAGACTAGGTTTGAATATTTACAGAAATGATAGCAAGAACGCTGCTGTTTCTATATGGGCTTTAACGGATATTTGGAAAAACACTCACATAGCCTTTATATATTTTTACAAATAATCTTCCACACCCATTTTAGAGAGTTCTGGACATCACACACTTCATTTTGGTGATGTCAGATCAGATGTGGTTTCTGATTTTTCCATGTTGCTGAAATGTAATGGATAATTTTTCTTTCTATGGTTAGTCAGGAAAAAGAATGTAAGCTATTAATCTTCGACTCTATTTCTACTCTACTAAATATATGGCCCTGGGAGGAGATAGCCCAATTTAGTTACATTGTGATACTTCTGGGGGCCTGGAAGGCAGAGATAAGGCCAGAGACCAATACCAAGAAACTGTGCTAGCAGCGATGACCAGACCAGAGTGACCAAAGACAAGGATGCCTCATCTCAGAGCATGACGGGTATGTGGAGAGGATGATCATGGATGGGGTTACTGAAGACCTGGGTTCGGATCTTGGCGCCACCATCTTGCACTCTGTGCCTTTTGGTACATTTTGGGATTTATCATGTTCAAATTGTCTGTAAATTGTAAAATGGGGAATGGCCAGAGAAAATTATTATGTTGGTTCCCTCCAAACTCTTAAAGGCTTTGGCTTTATTCAAGAGATAAATACAATGCTGGGGACACGTACTTGCAGACAGCAGCAGAGAACTGACAAAAATGGGTTGAGGGAGGCCAGAGATTTAGAGCGAATGTTGCAGGGTGTGAAAGAGAAAGTTCACAGTCACAGAATTAGGAGTTATGGCTTCTTGATGTGGCTTTGCTGGGAAGGCCCTTTGAGGCCACAGGTAAGGAATGGAAACGCCTTGGGCCTCAGTGTCCCCATCTACGACATAAAGGGGCAGACCTACTTAGTATCTAAGTTCCCTTAATGCTAGAATATGCTGTGACTTTTTATCTTTATTTTTTTCTTCTCCAGAAATACTCAAACAGTCATGGTACAGTGAGTATTTTATGATAGAAATAAAATGCGTGGATTTAAAAGCAGCAATATTGCAACTTGTTTCTTCCACTTTCACTCCCAGTTTTTCATTCCTACCAGAAAATAAGAACATGCTGGCTTTGATTTTATTTTATGTGTGTGTTTATGAATAGCCTCTTTTTCTAGATAATACGACCTTCTGGGGCAGGACTCGTATCTCTGAATCCTGTGTCTAGTGCAATGCCAGGCACATGACAGCTACTTGGTGAAAGTTTGCTGAATTGACTCTACCTCAGTTCAGTCTTTCCCTTTTGCCACTTGTGTCATTCCATGGCAATTAAAACAGTGTCAGGCTTATGACTGCTATTTGTTGAGGCTGTAATTCAAGGAAATAAGGAGCTTCTTTGGCTAAGGAGGGTCAGGCAACTTTTGATACCAGATTGCATGAACAAGCCGGGAACCTGGAGTCTTGTTTGTGTTGATGAGTTTGGGGTAGAAAGAGGGAGTGAGGCAAATGGAGGGAGGGATGAGAAGTATAATTGGTTCCTTTGACTGGTTCAGTTTATCCAAGCTGATGACGGGGCAAAGCATTCTGTGTCCTAACATTGGTGGTTGCGCACCACAATGAAGGTGAATTGGTAAATATTCTTTGTTGATAAAAGCAGCATGAAAATGCACTGAGTTAAGAGAGGCAGAGAGGTAGAAACGGAGCCTTGCAAAGACCGGGTAGCTGTGGTGCAGCAAAGCGCAGGAACCCTTCCTTGTCCTTGGAATGCCTTTCAGCTTCAGTGTCTATAAGACATCAGAGAGAATATTGTACAGTTCAGCCAAGCAGCAATGGCACAGCCCACACATGCTTGGAATCAGGATCCATTACAAGTAATGGGAGAGAGTGACACCATGAGTTTGGGTGTGCAAGGGAGGTGGAGGTGGAGAGAGTTAGTAGAGAGATGGGTGAATCCCCCTCTTAATGATAATTAATGTCCATGTATGCAGCTCAGAGCAGGCCCTGGTCTGTATTCACATAGTGTGGGGGAGTATTGATTTTTTTATGGAGAAGCTGTAGCTGAAAATTTTAGAGAGGCATTCATGTTCCTCATTAATATGCAGGTTGGATAGTGGCTACTGAGAGTTGAGTTTAAGACAGAGACAATCTATACTGGCCATTAAAAGAACCACAGTCTAATAGGCACATCTATTCTGGTTCTCTCAGTTTTAAGCATTCCTTCCAGCCGTTTCACTCTGAAAAAAATCCAGTGCTTAATTTAATATGTTTGAGGATTTTAAGAAAAGGAATCACTTATATTCTTCATATGTTGATGACTTCATTTCCTAAATCTTCATCATTTATATGCTATTATATCTTGCTACCCCGTGTTTTATGATGTGTATTTTGGGGCACTTGTTTCCTTTATATTTTTATCTGCCAGCTTCATTTATTTTCTTTCATGCATCACCCATTTGTCCCAAAGGTTTGTGCTGCTCGAAGATACCTGAGGGGACCCAATAGAATTTTTATTCCTATTTACCTGTGCCACCAACTGGAATCGTTACCACACACCCAGGAAATCTGACTTTTGAGATCTGTGGATATTACAATCTACACACATTGATTAAGTCTATTCTTGGCTAACATTGTCATTATTTCAATTATGGGAGTTTCACTAGAACAAGAAGTAAATGCATTTGACACCCCACATTTTCAATCCCCAAAGTTGCAGAAAGAAAGAAAGCATGAGCCTTATTTGGTTGTGACTTGACGTAAGTTTGAGAAGTGATGCTATTAATTCTCAGAATGGAGGAGGCCGCTCTGCAGGGGACAGGAAGCCAAGGATGCTGGGAGGACAGAGAGGGGGTGGTGAGCCACAAGGCTAACTCCTCCAGAGACATGACTGTGCTGTTATGAATTCCCACAATATCAGACATCCATATTTAAAGGCAAGCAGAACACATTTAAAAGCTGAACAGAGTGCTTTTGGCAGTAAACCTCTTTAAAAATTATCCATAACTTGATTTCCCCATTAACACACTTAATACAGAATTGGCTTTGTCTAGTGGTGAAATGGACTGTTCTTTTTCCAAGCCTATAAAAGCTCTATATTTTAACTGTAAGGACAGCTATTTTTAAAAGTTCCTGGGTTCATTCTTACCGAGGGTTCCTTCCCAGAAAATTGAGGCACGGGGCACTGGGCTTCTGTGTACCATTCGGCATAGTGCTCTCTACAGAAGGTGACGTTGTGCAGTAAGAGACTCTCTGGAGTTTGGCCTCGAACAATCTGACTGGTTGTTTAGAAAAATAAACAAATAAAAACAAAACCCAAATGTCAAACAGATTTTGTGTAGTCTTGTTATACCATAGATATCTATTCTACAGTGGGCTCTGAAATAACACCTCCACTTCTTGAAACGTAAGCTGTCACTCATTTTCCTCAGTGTCTTTAAAAATAGGCATTTAAGAAGCTCCAAATAACTTTGAAGATCCCAGAAAAGAAGTGGCCCTCTGTGGTATCCTGTGTTAAATTGAAAGTGTCTATATTAGAGAATTCATAATGAAGGGAAATTGTTTGAACATATCCTTTTGTAGACTGTTGAATTTAATTAGGTTTCATCTTGTCCTGATTGCTGATTTAGGCTAATTGGCTAACTTTGTACTATTTGGTTCTTTTGCAAATTCATTTAACTTCTACCCTTCTTGGTTTGTTTCTGAGTGCTTAGAAGTTTCCAAGTGAAGAAGTCAAAAGAAGTGCCCTGAATAATGGTATTTTTTCCCCCCCTAATGATCACTATTTTGGCAGGATCAAAATAGGCATCATGAAGTGTGTCTCTAAGACTGTACTGATACATTTAGGAGTGGAAGGAGAGGCCAGACTTTGTAAATGGAGCACTGGATGAGGAGTCCTATAATCCTGCTATATTTTCCACAAATGCACTGCAGACCAAACTTTGACAAGTTGCTTTACCACAGGCTCCTAGGGTTACCCCTTGGTCTACCGGCAGTGAAACAAAGACATCGAGGTCATGTCATCTGGGGGTTGCTGAATTCCTAGGTGTTGAGGAATAAAATGCATTGATTTGTCTTGGGAACATGATACTGTTGGGCTGAGAAACTTTAGTATCACCCAGACTCATGTCCTGGCTAGCCTGTGGAATAGCATGTCCCTTTTTGGATCATAGGGCATGGGAGGAGGGAGCAGTAATGCCCTTGGGAACAGCCTGGTGTCATCTCAAACTGACATCTTGGCCTTTGTCCCCATCTGTTTTGTGGAGGTCATACAAACTTGATACCATCCCTCTGAGTTAGATGAGAAAAATTATCTGCAAATCTCCAATGTACAAATGATGCCCAGACATAGGCATGGTGAGTAATACATAGGACCAGTGGGAGACGCCACACATTTTAACACCTTCATTCTCAGGCTGTAGGAAGGACTCCCCACAGGATCTCAGAACATGCCACAAATGCTGTATCTTTTAAAATTAAAAAAGAAAAAAGTAATGTCTTCATCTATGCCATCCCATAATAAGAAGATTAGTGGGCCTTAACACATTCCAATAATCCTACTTTTACTTGGCATTTTGTATAGAATTTGCAAATTACTTTTGCTGTAAACAGTAGCTGTAGAATACTTCAAGCTGAGAAGATTAAATGAGGCCCTTATCCCAAAATAAGCCTTTCAACTAGGTTAAAGTGACTAAAAAAATTCATCTTATGAAGTGTTATTGGGATATTAAAACTATCTCCAGCGAAACACTGCCCACTGAAATCCTCTTGTGCTTCGACAATGTACCAGGCTGTGCATGTGGGAGACATACATTGAGGGGTGTGCACACAGAATTTCTCTGAAGAGGACTTCTAGACACACATGGGTTATCAAGAGCTTCTCAAATGTGTGACAGGGGTTGACAACTCGGCATCCAGAGCAGAATCAGCGCCAGAAAGGAGGGATTGACTGTCTCTGAGGTGGAGCACATTGGGCTGCACACTGCCCACCTCACCTGACCCCAGTACAGAAAGGAGTGCTGAGAGTCCCACATTCAGAAGAGCCAATTGCAGAGACTTCCAGCTGTGAGAGAAGAGAAAGCCTCTAGCTAGGCTGCAGCTTAAGTGCTGACTGACTAGGTTGCCAATGATGAGCAGAGGGTTGGGAGGTCTTTTAGGGCACCCACCAGGGGTATGTCTTTCAACAATGTGTTTGTGTCAGATAAGCTATGGATGATGGGAGAGTTCTTAATCAGATGCAGGAAGTGGCAACAGCAGAACTGCCACCCACTTCTAGAAGTGTGGGGCTGAGAGGGAAGGAGCACTAGTGTGAGGAAGGAGACTGGAAGTAAACTTGGCTAAGGGGCAAATCTGGAAAGGCTGCCCTGGGGCTTCACATGAGCCCCAGAATCACCAAGGTGTGTGTAACTTCCTAAATCATGCTACTCTGCGACTCTGTGCTTGCTCTAGAAGGGCTGTACAGAGGCAGAGCCCACTTCTGGTATCGGACCCTCTGCATCAGCAGTGGCAATGATGGGAGAATGAGGATCCAGAGAGGGTAATATTGTTGGTGTAGGAAGCAGGGAAGCTGCTGCTTGCAAGCCAAGCAGGGCATTGGCAACGTCACCGGCTATGTTCTTACAGGGGTTGAGGAAGGTGAAGTTCCGTTCTTCAAGGGTTTCTTAAGAGTAAAGGTTTGATTGTCTAAAGGCTGATGTCCTAGGTCTGACTCTACCATTTATTCATCATGGGATCTTGAGGGCATCACTTAATTTTCTGAACGTCTTTTTCCTCTTGATGAAATGGAGTCAACAGCACCTTCTCTATTTGACAGGACTGTCGTGGAGGTCAAATTGATCATGTGTGCGCCTGCACACTTATGTTTGTTGCAGCACTTTTCACAGTAGCAAAAACATGGAGCCAACCCAGAGGCCCGTCAAAAGTGGACTGGATAAAGAAAATGTGGTACATATACATGATGAACTATTATGCAGCCACAAAGGAGAACAAAATTATTGGCTTTGCAGCAACATGGATGCAGCTGGAGACAATCATACTGAGTGAACTGTCACAGAAACAAAGAACTGAATACCACATGTTCTCACTTATAAGTGGGCCCTGAACACTGAAAACATGAGCATAAGGGCAGGGTCTGCAGATGCTGGACTCTGCTAGGGGAAGGAAGAAGGGAGGAAGCAGGAGGGCACATGGTGACACACTGGGTACCTGGTCCACTATCAGGGAGTGAGAGGGCTAGCTAGAAGCCCAAATTTCACCTGCATGCAACTTTCTTATGTAGTAAACCCTCACTTGTACCCCATGACTCTAAAATAAAAAAAAATTGATCATGCAAACAAATATGCTTTGAAAGTTGTAAAATGGAAGAAGAAGGCATCAATTTATGAAATAATTAAAAGGGACAAGCTCTTTTACAGACAACAGTCGATTAATCAATCCAGGGCCATTTATTCATATTAAAAGAATTAAAAACATTATATTTAAGGGTGCGTGCATCAACTTCCTGGTGAAGAGATGGACAGTATCAAGCAGGTCCTGAATGCCAGAACAGTATTTTATGGGATCTCCAAGTAAAAAGGAATCCTAGAGGTTAAATGGGGAAACTGAGGCCCAGAGGACTCTGATAACTGTTGACAGAGCTGGATCTACAGCCCAGGTCAGACTGTCAACGTCACATACCATCTCTTCCTGCACACTGGGTTCCCTAGCTGATGATTTTGGTTAAGCGGGAGTGAAATCTGAGTGTCAAAAATATATATCCTGACTGATCCCAGATAAATTGGATTGCAGAGACAGATACTGGATGAAACATGGATCTGCTGTCATCCAGCATTCATTAGAATTCCTGAATCCTATAAACATGTCAAGACTCACTAACGGAGTCAGCTAGGAAAAATAAATACGATACTTCACTGCCTATGCAGCTTATTTTCAGTGCTACTGAAAAAGTATTTGCCACTGTGAATATACTTTTCACACATTATGTGAGTCCTTTAGTCACTGCATGTCGTGTTCCTTCATCAAAAGGACTTCCCACGATTATTCTGAGATTCCCAGAGGTAAAAATCTTGCACAGTGAGCACAGTATGGACTTACCTTGTCCCGTGGATAACCAGACTGAGAAAGAAGACGATGAACACATGGTGCATATACCAGAACAACTCATAGGAGACATGTCTGATGAACTCAGTTGAAGAAGTCATGATCAAGATTAAAGCCAGAGAGATCACCAGGCCAGTGATGCCTGCTATTGTCCTTAGCAGCTCGGTGGTTGCATTCTAAAAACAATGAATGCCATGACATTAATATCTTAGTACATTTTCCCATTTTTAGGATCAATATTTGATTCCAAGTAGGGATCCATTCAAAATTCTCAGACAAAACGTGCCCTCAAGAAAGGTCCAGGCACAACTCAAGAAGTAAATTCCTTCTTCTTCCCCCATCCATATCTTATGGTGGACCTCTGCTTTGCTCAAATTTTAGAAAATACCAATTTATTAATTACTTTTTAAGTTTGTATAAATCATTTTCATGTCAAAGTTATTGTATTGAATTGAAATTGGGTCAATATATGAAAAGAGTTTATTAAGATAAAATACTGCAAAATAGATCTGGGTTTTTTAGTTTTAAGTTTTTAAAATAAATATGTGGATCACTATGCTTAATTGCATTTTAACATTAATAAACAGATTTTTTGAGAGTTCCCTTAGGGGCATTCCTAATAAAGCAGCTGTACACTCTGTTCCCTTGGTAGTTATTCCTTGCTCTGGCTTTTTAATTGGAAAAACCATGACTTGCATTTCTTTAGCGCTGTCTCTGGGGGCCTAGAATAAGGCTTGGTAAATCCTAGGTGATCAATAAAGGTACAGCTATTCTTATCTGGTAGACACCACAAAGAGGCCAGAATTCTGACCTGTGAGTTCAGGGGACAGTTAAATAGCCTTTTAGAATATGAATCACAAAGCATTTTGTTTTTATTGTGAGTTTCCCATATTCTTGCCAAGTCATTAGTATTCATTGTATTACTATCCTTGAGCTGGCCGTGAGCTCAATAAACTCACACTGTATCTTTTGTCAGTAAAACCTCATTAATTTGGGCTGCTTTGAGATCTGGAGGTAATTTGGACAGGGACTTCTTCATTGTTTATTTTTTCTTCATAGAGCAAAGAGTGGAAATGAAATTGAAAGGGGTATGTCTCAAACATTTTAAATATTCTTTTTTCAAGTACACGCAGGCATTTTAGAAATTCACTTCCATCATATGATGTGCTAATTTCAAATCATTCTTCTTTGCTTATTAAAGCAAATCCTCACGCCTCTGTTCTCGCAACACACTTATAGACTGGTTGAGTCTCAACGTATCCTCTGAAGGAATTCCACTGCATCTCTAGAAATGCTCTGTAATGTACACTTTGTGTTATTGATACTCATCTCTCTCCAAGTACCTCAAATTAGAGGGTTTTCTGAGTATAATTAGTATTTACATAGTATATGATGAGGGAACCCCCCCAAACCCGGAATTTATTTATTAAAAATGGTGTATTTATTCTTACATGTTTAAACTTCAGTCACCTTCAAAGTACTCTCCCTTTGATACAATATACCTGTCGAGATGCTTTTTTTCACTGCTCAAAACAGTTTTTGATCTCATCAATTTTGATGTCTTTTAGTACTCCAGCCATTTTTTGTTTCACCTCTTTCACATAGGCAAAACGTTTCCTTTGAAGGACTTTTTATATCCAGGGGAACAAAAAAAGTCACTCGGGGCAAGATTGGGTGAATAGGAAGTATGGGCCATGGGGGTCATGCTGTTTTTGGGTCCAAAACTGCCTGAACACTCAGTGAGGCGTGGGCAGGTATGCTTGTAAATACTCATTATGAAATGGGCAAATGCATTAAAAGAATCTCATAAAAGAAAAAAAAAATTCACTGAAGCAGAACACAGCCTCTCACAACGCTACCTGGTACATGGATGCCGATGGGTTCCTAGAACACTTACCTAGCGAGGGAAGCCTGTACTACAAGGGGCCTGCCCTCCAAAAGATAATTCTGGTTTTTTTTGAGGGGGGGTCCTCTCCTATTGCTTCTAAAAGTTTGAAGTTACCATATTGGGAGTAGCTTAATTATCTCGTCCAATTGCCTTAAAACTATAATAAATACTATTTATTATATAGCCTATTCAACATATTGAGATTTATTTTGGAGAGTGTATAACAATGAATGTCCTTGGGAAATAGCGTTAATCCTAGTAGGTGCCCAGATAAATGCTATCACTCAATAGAGTAGCCAAAAGCATTCCCAAGTTCTTAGGATGGCTGCATTTCTGATTTATAACTGTAAAATTTGTGCTTCCAAGTGCTGTCAGCTAAGAAAAGCTAGCTCAGCTTGATCAGCTGATGGCTGATATTGAAAATCATCATAAGGTAATTAGGGGACATGGGAAAATCTCCCCAAAAACAGACTTTGAATTTTCGGTCTTTAAATGAGGCTGCATGGGCAAAATGCTCACTTAAAGAGACAGCCTAGATAACAGTGAAGAGATGTCCATGGGTGGACTGTATTGTGTTAAGGCTTTTCTGAACAATATAGATTTTTTTAACCTCATCACCATGTATTCCAATATGGTAGTACATGGAGAAAGGGTTAGATCAATGACAAAGAAGAGGGGGGTGGATTAAGGGAGAGGAATACCTTCATCTCAAAAGGTGAATTGCTGTGGCCACTTGTTTGGTTTGATTTTTGTTTCCCTCAGCTGCTGCCACTCTGTGCATATAGGTAATTAGAATTAATGATGTCACTAGCCATGCAGGACTCATTAAGAAATTAGCTGCTTTGCCCAGTATCTGATTTGGCAAACCAGTTACTTACATATGAGGCCAAATTACATGGCAGAGGAGAAGAGATCCAGAAAACAATTTGCAAATTGAAATGAAGACATCCAATTTATAATCCCAGATTTAGATGGCACTTCTCATGATGAGTCAAATGTCACTGAAAAAACAGCTAGTCATGAGTGGTTTTAAACTTTTCAGATATTCGGGTTTTAACAGGTCCCTGCATTCCCTGTTAAAGCATCTACATCTACCTATATATATATTATTTTGCTATAAATTTATTAAGTGGCATATGTTTTTCTCCTTGTCTATCACCTCTCAGCAACATTAATAATGTCAGACAAAAATAACTTTAAAAGGATGTGACACTGATGTTATCATTAGGCCGAAACATTTTCTCTCCAGCTCTTTTATTAAAAGACTTTGATGCTGGGTGTGGTGGCTCTTATCTGTAACCACAGCTCTTTGGGAGGCCGAAGGGAGGATAGATTGAACCCAGAGTTCAAGACCCACTTAGACAACATAGCAAGACCTTGTCTCTACAAAAAATTAGCCAGGCATGGTGGTGCCTGTCTGTAGTCCCCAGTCAAGAGGCTGAGGCTATGGGGTTGCCTGAGGCCAGAAGGTCAAGGCTGCAGTGAGGCACTGTCCTCCAGCCTGGGTGACAGAGTGAGACCCCCCACCTCCCAAAACAAAATAAAACAAAAAATAAAAGCTGTCGAAATATAGTGTACCTGATAAAGGGATTGGAAAGGATTTTCCAGAGAAGAAACTAGGAAACATGCAGGAACTCACTGTGGGGAAGGTCCGGATGGGGTTGAGGTAGCTCTCATTCGGGGTATTGCCCAATTTGGAGAGCACAGCCTGAAGTCCTTCAGCCTCCTCTGACTGGCTCCAGCGGTAGCGCTCCAGGTTGAAGAAATGGGCCACGATGTGGATGGCTGGTATGAAGAGAAGACGACATCAGACATGCACTATGTGAATTTCTTCCTTTATTAGTTACTCAAAAATTCAACATCTCTGTGCTCAAGTTTTTCTCTTCTAATTTTTGCAATCTGTCAGGGAAAATAATTTATTTTATTTTGTTATTTTGAGTCAGGGTCTTACCCTGTCACTCAGGCTGGAGTGCAGTGGCGTGATCCTGGTTCACTGCAGCCTCAACTTCCTGGGCTCAGGTGATCCTTCCACCTCAGCATCCCAAGTAGCTGGGATTACAGTCACACACTGCCATACCTAGCTAATTTTTGTTTTTCTTGTAGAGAAGAGGTCTCATTATGTTGCTCAGGCTGTTCTTGAACTCCTGGCTTCAAGCAACCCTCCTGGCTTGGTCTCCCAAAGTGCTGGGATTACCTGAGTGAAAAATTATATATTTATCATCTTTCCCAGGGTCTTGAATGGAGTGAATGAAATATTTCTGAAGTAATTGTGTGGTCCTTCACAGTTATTTTAATTATATTAACAAAGTAAATATCAACTAATCATAATTTTTTTATTTTTTGAGTTGAAGTCTCACTCTGTTGTCTAGGCTAGAGTGCAGTGGCATGCTCACAGTCACTGCAGCCTCGACCTCCTGGGCTTAGGTCATCCTTCTACCTTAGCCTTTCAAGTAGCTGGAACTACAGGTGGGTGCCACCACGCCTGGTTAGTTCTTTGATTTATTGTAGAGATGAGGTCTCGCCAAGTTAGGCTAGTCTCGAACCCCTGGACTCAGGCAATCCTCTCACTTCGACCTCCCAAAGTGCTGGGATTACAGGCTTGAGCCATTGTGCCTGGCAATACATCATAATTTAATTTTAAATATATGGTTATTTTGGAAATGGGGTAAGTGTTGTGACATCACAGTATAATTATATATAAGATGCAATTCTTAATAAAATAAAAAATATAGTTTCTTAAGAAGTCAGAAAGCATTATTCCAGAATATATATATATGATATAAATGATAGGCACCAGGGGAGATGAGATAATGTTTTTGTTGTCTTTCAGACACTATATTTTCTACCTTTTCCTTTATACATTTGAATATACAGTAGTCCCCAGTCTGAAGTTTCACCTTCCTTGAGTTCAGTTACCTGAGGTCAAACATAACCCCAAACTGTTAATTGGAAAATTCCAGACATAAACAATTCCTAAATTTTAGATCATGTGCCATTCAGAGTAGCGAGATGAAATCTCGTGCCCTCTTGCTCTGTTTTGCTTGGGCTGTGAACCATTCGTTTGTCTAGTGTATTCATGCTGTAGCTGCCACCCATCTGTGAGTCACTTAGTAGCCATCTAGGTTATCAGATTGACTGTCAAAAATGGCGGTGCTTGGGTTCAAGTCACTCTTCTTTTACTTAAAGATGGCCCTAGTGCACAAGAGTAGTGATGCTGGCAATTTGAATACGGCAAAGAGAAGCCATCAAGTGCTTCCTTTAAGTGAAAGGGGCGAAAGTTCTCAACTTGATGAGAAAAAAAAATCATATGTGGAGGTTGGTAAGATCTACGGTAAAAATGAATCTTCTATCCATAAAATTGTGAAGAAGGAAAAATAAATTTGTGCTAATTTTGCTGCCACACCTCAGACTGCAAAAGTTGCAGCCACAGTGCATGATAAGTGCTTAGTTATTCTGGAAAAAGCGTTAAGTATGTGGGTGGAAGACATGAACAGAAATGTGTTCCCATGGACAGAATTGGGTTCAGTACTATCTATGGTATCAGAGGCATCCACCGAAGGTATTGGAGTGAGTCCCCCAGAAATACAAGAGGACTACTGTGCACATACATGCCTATACATACACACACATATATACACACATATATTTGCATGTGTTATTCCTGGTGGATTGAAATAAGCCAGTGTTTGTGGAACTAAACATAGCCTCTGTTTATTCCTAAGAAGTAAATGGAGATTTCTGAGTCTGGGAAGTGGTGACGCCTAACTTCCAAATGAAGAAAAAGAGCTCAGAAACACAGCATTGTTTGGTGTGAGGATTTTGTGTCCAATGCTGCTCTTTCTTGCCTTGTGAAATCTTCTGGGAAGCCAGCAGTCCCTTCTAGACAGCAACATACTAATGCTTTTCCCGCACATGGAAGTCTGTCTACGTGGCCAGTTGATACTTGCCATTGGGATCAGATTCAAGTGTGAAATGAGGATTCATTGCCCAGGGTATAGAAAGTTTCCCAATTGATACGTTTTTTCTTTTCTTTCTTTCCTATCTTTCTTTCCCTCCCTCTCTCCCTCCCTCCCTCCTTCCTTTCTTCCCTCCTTCCTTCCTTCCATCTGTCTGGGTCTCACACTATTGCCTAGGATGGAGTGCAGTGAAATGATCATGACAATCATGGCTCACTGCAGCCCTGACCTCCTGGGCTCAGGTGATCCTTCCATCTCAGCGTCCTGAATAGCTGGGATTATAGGCGTGTGTGCCACCACACCCAGCGAATTTAAAAATTTTTTTTTTAGAGACAAGGTTTCACTATGTTGCCCAGTCCAGTCTCAAACTCCTGGGTTCAAGCAATCTGCTCAAGTTGACCTCTCAAAGTGTTAGAATTATAGGCGTGAGCCACCACACCTGACCTTCTTTTTCTTTTTCTTCACCCCCAGTGAGAAGTAGCAGGGCTTTACTTCTTTCATATGGTCTATACAAACTGAGGATGTGTTACAAGATCCTCTGTAGCTGTGCATTGTGGGTTGAGGTGTGAAAGAAGGTGTGAGGGAAAAAGTAACAGCAGAAACTCCTTAGAATATTGATGTCATTTTGGTCCCTGTGGTCCTAGTAGCAAATTTATTTAGAAATGGCATCTTCTGTTTAGCCTTTTCTCTCTGTCACCTGAGCTCCTGTTATTGTTCCCTTTTCTGACTCGCAAAGTTTTCTACTCATGTTTTGTGACCCAATTCAAAGTTGTTTTTTATCTCACATTCTTCAATCCCACAGGCACAAATGACCCTTTAACTATAGCATTTCTCAGATATTATTGCTGTGAGTAAAAATAAATCACCAAACACACACACACACACACACACACACACACACACAAACAACTAGTCAGGCGTGGTGGCGTGCATCTGTAGTTCCAGCTACTTGGAAGGCTGAGGCGAAAGCATTGCCTGAGCCCTGCAGGTCGAGGCTGCGGTGGCTGTAAGCATACCATTGCATTCCAGCCTGGGCAACAAGAGTGAGACTCCAACTCAAAAAAAGAAAAAGCTGTATCAATAATTGTTATACCTTTTGATTACTCAAAGCCCATTGTCCTATGGGTTGACATAAAATTCTTTGAATGGCTCACTTGGTGCCTTTAATCTAGAGTCAAACTATTCCTAAGGCTTATGACTCATCACAACACTTGGGGTCCTCTGTAGGTTGGCGTAAATGCTCCTTCTACACTCCGCCTCTTTCCTTTCACTCCTCTGCTCCCAGTTCTCTTTAATTTCTCCTCCATGGACTAAAGCACTCCAGGCAGGGAGTGGAGCTGTTCTCAGTTTACAGAAAGAGAAACCGAACTTCAGACCACATTCAATGAAATCATGGCATCATCCATGTGTGATAGTCAGAAAGATAATGCAGAATACATTCTCTTTCATATCATTTTATATTTTATAACATTCTTTTCCTGTGTAATGAGTTGTTGATCACAATCTCTTTGCTATTAGATTGATTTCCACATGAGAATTTGGCACTGTTTAACTAAATTTAAGGATGTTGATGGAATGAACAAAGATATTGGACTACTTATTTATTCTTATTGCCAGGTATCCCATCACAGAGCTGAAGAAACTAACTGCAGCAGTAGAAGAAAGCCCAAGATGCTTTACAAGAAGTAATTTCTGAGAGAATGTGCTGAAAACTGTTCTATAGTATTTTTCATGTGCTTTAAAGATCATGTCTTGGCGGGGCACAGTGGCTCATGCCTGTAATCCCAGTACTTTGGGAGGCCGAGGTGGGAGAATTGCTTGAGCCTGGGAGTTTGAGGCCAGCCTGGGCAACACAGACCCATTCCAAAAAAAAAAAGTTCATGTCTTTTTATTTTTATTTTTTTGAGTCGGAGTCTCACTCTGTTGCCCAGGTTGGAGCGCTGTGGCACACTCACAGCCATCCCAGTGTCAACCTGCTGGGCTCTGGCGATCCTTCCAACATCAGCCTTCCAAGTAGCTGGAACTACAGGTGTGTGCTACCATGCTTGTCTAATTTTTGATTTATTGTAGAGACAAGGTCTTGCCAAGTTGCCCAGGCTGGACTTGAACCCACAGACTCAGGCAATTCACTCACCTTGGCCTCCCAAAGTGCTGGAATTACAGACTGAGCCACCAAGCCAGGCCAAAAGTTTATGTCTTAAATGTTCCTTTGTGCCAGCCCCTCCATTTTGTTTTCTTTTCACAAGGTAGAAGATAAAAACTGGAATACTTTATTTATCTCAAAAATTCTCAGAGAGAACACTGCTCATGCCCAATTTGTTTGTCTAAATATTTTATTTTCCTCTTAGATCTGATCCTAACTTCACAATGATCACAGCTTGGAACTGAAGAAATACTAAATTCGGAATTGTTGCAAACCTATAGATACTAGGAGAGGTATTGTTTTTGTTCTTTTTTAGACCTTATATTTTCTATTCTTTCCTTTCTACATTTTAAGCTTTAAAATATGTGACCATGCTGTCTATGTTACATTGGATAGTTGCTTCAGATATGAGATAAAACAGAGACATGGTTTGATTTTGGTCTCTTAGTCATCCATATCATTTCCTGTTATTTGGTTTGAGATCAGTATGTAGCAGAAAGAATACGGAAGCAACTACGTCTCAACTACTTTCCTTCTTTCTACTCCTCTTTTCCTATCTGTGAAATGGATGAATTGGACTAAACTACATGATATCTAAGCTAGGGAGCTGCATGGCTCCTGTGACTTTTTCTGAAGTTAACTGGGATAAAAGGAATTTGTCAACAAATATGGAAGTAATGCAGACAGAAAACTCACGTTTTAATATGTTTTCACAATTAACACTGGCTTAAGGGGGCTCTTCAGTCTTGTGGTCAATCCGATGCCATAGCTACGAAGGCGAGTTCTTCGCGGCGTCTGTGTGGACTGACTATGGTACACACTGCTGTGCCCTTGGAGGAGCTCAAACCACACATTTTCCTAACCCACCCGGTTGTGCCAGGTTAAAAGATGCTATCACTGGATCTTTCTACGATTTTATGTTCTCCCCAAAGAACTTTTAAGAGAGCAGCAATTTTGGAAACACTACACTGCACATTTAATTGGTGTGTGAACTTCTGAGTTCAAATAAGGCGCTTTCATTGAAGAGTGAAGAAAAAAATCATAAAGGCTACAATTAGAGCCAGTTGCCCCAAGAAAGTTCCTTTTCCTTCGTTCTTTCTTTCATTTTTATTTTTCAGGAGATCAAAGGAAGCATAATTGAGGAGAATCTTGGAAGTGTGGTCAGTTCTTGCTGTCTTTCTGCCTGCCTGTTAGTGATAACAGTCATTTTGGAGTTAGGCACCTCCTAATTAAGCAGCCTTTAGAAACAACGACCCAGGAACAAATCCTGGCTGTGTGTCTGCAGCCAGAATTTGGCTGCAAACTTTCAAATCTGTGTTCTTATTTCGGTAGGAAGACTGGTTGACTCTGGCACCCTGTGTGTGCCCTGCATTTGTAATCACATGAAATCTTTTAGGCAGAATGGGGGACGGAGCCTACTCGGAGGTCCCAGAGCTTCAGACATCACTGGTTAGTCAGACTGCTTTAGAAGGCAGGACCTGAAGGCTTGTACCTTTAGGGCTGTTTTCAAAGGAAGAGTCTCCGAATCTCTGTTTTTGCAGTCCTCTTATTCTGAGCTCTCTCCTCTCACCCTGCCCCTGTTATGCTGATTGATGTTTGTAAACTAATTTTAGCAACTTATCAGAAGCTGTGTAATTGTACATCCCTGGAAACTGGCAGGCACAGGCTGTGGAATTTGCCAGAGAGAGCTGCTCGGGTCACTGTTTACAGCACCCTTTGATGGAAGCTCAGACTCAAGGTACGACTTTCCAATTGGAAGGGTCTTCAAGGTCTGCTGTGGACCAGGGAATCCGGAAAGATCTGCATTAATAAGGATGGAGAGGCTGTGAAACTACGATTTTTATACCAGTGGGGTTATAGGTCCTCAAAAATGATTTATTAGTGGCTGAAGAATGCTCTGGCAGCTCTTATCATAGGCAGGCAAGCAGGAAGGCAGGAAGCCAAGAGAAGAGTTCCTGTCACTGCATTTTTGGTGATGTCCTTGATTATAGATACTATTGTTTTGCCTCTTCCCTCCTCCTCCCTAGCCTACTTCCACCAGGCTCTAATTACATCCTTTAATGATTTGACCAATTAAAGCCTGCAGTTCAATGTATAGGGGAGCGGATGAGAAATTAGAGGTTGGCATGCAAACTTCTATGTAGATGCTCTTTTCCCAAGGTTACACACCTCTATTAAGCCAGTCGGCTATTTGAAATGCAGCATAATGGGTGATGCTAATAAAATAAGCGCAGGGACATTTTCAGCTGCTCCCAAGTGAATCTACCAGAAGGACAAAATGTGAAAAGCAAAGGTGTTTCCATGAAACCGGGACTTAGCAATTCTCCCCCCTACTAAAAGCGCGGTTGCCAGCCACATTTCTTCGTTAATGTGAAATGTAATAATTGCTTTGTCAGGGTTTGGGAGAAGCAGAGAGCTTTCTTCCCTCCCTCCTGCCTTTGCCTGGAGTGGAAACAACAGCAGTGCTGCTGGTTGCCATGGAGGTGTGGGGCGAGGGACACTTTGCTCTCAGATGCTGTTCTGACCCTGCTGGGCGAGCCCCGGGAGATGCTTGGGAGACTAGCAAGACAGTGGGGGCTCAGGGTGAAGGGGATTGGAAAGAATATTTGATTCGTTCCAGGGAAAGACGGGGAACGAACACCATCTTCCTGTAGTTGCAGCAGAATGTGAATTTATTATCTTGGACAACTGGCATCATTTTGAATCTCTTCATTCCCCATGCTGTTTTGTCCACCCCAAACTGCTCACGGTGCCCTGAACAACCTAGGCACTTGTGTCCCGTGTCTTTCCGGGCGATTCTCTCAATCTCCCCTGCCTGCTGCCTGCTCCTATTCATCTTTAGGTTTGACTAAATTTGTTGAGGACTTTTGGTGTGCCAGGGACTGTGGAAGCTACTATGTATATGGCACAGTCTCAGCCGTGGCGGCGACAGGGTCTGGGGCATTCCACTCTTGGTGTGACCTTAGACCTGTTGGTGAGGTGGCTGGATCAGGGGGAGGCAGGCCAGGAGATGAGTTCTGGATCTCTCACCCAGAAAGCTCCATGAAGGACAACGGGAGCATTTCAGACAAAAGGAATCACAGGAACAAAGGCTCAGGGACTCCCAGGAGCTGGGGGACACCTGAGGGGACTAAGGAAGGGGCATGTCGTGGGAGATCAGATGGCAGCAGGGCAGGGGCTAGGCTGGCAGAGTCTGCAGCCATGCTGAAGACTCTAGATATGATCTTATTTGCAATAGCATAGTGACCTTGTATTCTGCAAATTTCCAACTAGGTCCATTTCTGACAATAATCTGCACATCTTGTTAAGACGGCTAGATCGTATTACTGTTCTTTTAATTCCACAGAGGAAGGAGCATAAGGACCTTATCTGAGATCACACAACCAGTCAGTAGGAGGGGCATAAAATAACTTGATCGTCTGATTTCTAACAACTGCTGCCCATGCTGAATTATACTCCCTTCCTAAAACAGCACCGGCCATACTGGTTTCAGAAAGTTATAGCTGCTACCAGGCTATCTTAAACATCGAAGACATTCACGCTACATTATTAATGCCTTTATACAATTGATATATAATTAAATATAAAGATCTGTGCATGCCCAAAGGTTTAAGGAGAAAATGATTTTGTAACACATTTTTCTTTATTCTTTGCTTCTTTTTCTGATGTATTTTGATGCTGTTTTCCCCCTTCTCTCTATAATATCTTTTAAAATTTTTCTTTTAGAGCCCAGTTCTGCTTTAAAGCTTTTGCATGGTGAGAACAGTCTTCTTGCCACTTTACTGTGTTATGCAGAAATTAAGCTATTTAAGATTTTAAAGGAAGTCTAGCAATTCCTTGAATTCCTTCTCTGAGGAGCCTACCAAGTGGCAATCTGACCTCTGCTTGGATACCATTCTCAGTACTCTTAGATGACCTTCATTCTAATTTTAGGTAATTCCCAAGGTCTGGAAAAGTCTTCCATTTCTGAGCCAAAGTCTGCTTCCCTGAACCTTTATGCCTTCAAGCATTCACTCCTTCATCAAAGGCTGTTTGCACCTCTGTGTACTCAGCACCCCTGCAGGCCCTGGAACACAAGGATGACCCAGCAACCTAGCTCTAGCCCTCTTTGCTGGTTTTCTCTAGGATGGAGTATCTTTTGGCCCTTGTTTCTTAACAAATCACAAAGACCTTTTGCAAAGCATTTCTTGGGTGGGTTTAATCTGGCGTTGAAGACAATCAGTGGGGAGAATCTTCCCCTCATGTCTCGCTGCACACCCAAAGTTGTGTTAATTGGCACTCGGCACCGTCTGTCATGTCTTGTTGCTTAATTAAATTCACATTTGTTTTGAGTGTTCCTTTTACTCTGCTATTTTTTATGCATGAGAGGATAAAAACAAATGAGGAAAACATTTTATAGTTAAATTAGTTGAGAGAAACAGTCCTGAATCATAACTGTTTATCGTTCAGATAGCCTTTTATTTCAATGTCTTTGTTTTCCAACAAAACCACAAGCCAGTTGGTCATTGACCCTCTTCTTTTCTTCCTCACCAGAGTTTAACCTTGGCCTTGAATGCTAATTTCTAGTGCCTTCCTCTTGAATTAGAAATGTAATAATAACAATAACGCTTTATATGCCTATAAAGCTTCAAATCTTTTCAAGATCCTCTTATATGAACTAGCTTAATAGTACTCAGAACCTTGCTCACATGGTCTTTCTTTTTTCTTTTTACTGCCCATGATACCATTTGATAGTCATTTTCCTACGACTGTGAATGAGATTTTGAGCATAGGTCAATTTTATTTCCGATGTGAATTATATTGTATAACAAAGTGTTCAGTTTTCAAGGAGGTATTTAGCATTGTAGTATCAACAAACTTAACTATTCACAAATAAAAATGAAGCTTCACCAACTTTTCTTTGACAAATTGAGGTCTTGGTAGAGAAAACTCATATATGAGCATAAATGGGAAATTTAAAAAACCCATTCGTATAAGGCTTATGTGGTCAGATGGAGGACAAAATTTATTTTACCTAAGGGTGAGACTTAAGGAAGGGAGACTTGAAAGGGAGACTTAAAACAAAATCATAAAGTTAAACATTAAATATTTTTAAGCCCATCAGGCAATTAATAAGTACTTACCTGCATTAACAGCTATCCCATAGGCAACCAGTTTGTGAAATTGGAGGTTTTTGTCTAATTGCCGTCTCCATGGTCCTCTGCAGCACTAGAGCAACAAGAACAACAGCAAAAAGCCTGATTTAGGGAAAAATCACAGTGATAACAGTGTCATGAAAGTTAAGAGAACAGGACTCAGGCTTTGCTAAATTGCTTAAAGTGGGGCCAGGTGACACAAAAGTTGATGGCCACTCGTCAAACTGGCAAAACAAAATGTTACTTGCTTTGCCAGAATTTCAACTAAACGTGATTGAATCCGTTTTCTGGTTATAGCGTGAAACTTTTGAATACACTTGCTGATATGCATGCTTTACTCAGCTTCTTTGTTTAGGAAATGAAGAGGATAGCCATTATCCTCTTCCAAGTGATGAAACCAGTCTGCAAATTAATAGGCACTGTATGCATCTATCCTTGGAGGTATTGCTGGGTCAATTCTGGACCGCAATAAAGCAAATGTTGCAATATTTGCGAGTTACACGAATTGTTTAGTTTTCCAGTGCATTTAAAAGTTACGTTTACACTATACTGTAGATCATTCAATGTGCAATAGAATTATGTCTAAAGAAACAATGTACATCTTTAGCTAGAAAAAACTTGCTAAAAATTGCTGACACAGAGACACAAAGTGAACACATACTGGTGGAAAAAATGGCACTGATAGACTTGCTCGTTGCATGGTGGCCACAAACTTTTATTTTGTAAAAAACTCAATCTGTGAAGTGCAATAAAATGAAGCACAGTATAATGACGAATGCCTGTGTAATAAGTTATTTCATCTGGCAAAGATTATTGAAGGTCTCATTTTCTGTAGGCTATTCTGTTTAACAGGAAACACAGGCAAGTACTTAACACCATGAGATCAATCCAAATAGGAAATGTCCCATTATGTCTGGAAGGTGCTCAAATCTACATACTAAAATCTATGTATAATGATTGTGTTTTCCGGGGGTGAGAACTTAGAAAGATGTTTCCTGAGTGCCATTTGTCTCAGCTGCTTATTTGTCTTCTTTCAGTCAGAAATGGCAATAGTTCAAGCTGTTATAAAGCTTCGTTTCCATGGGGTCTTGGGAGAGGGTTGAGCTGTGGGTTCAATGTCATGTAGGAAATCAATGGCAAAATCTGAAGCCAAAATCAGTTGTACTGATTCCTGATTTTCAGTTTCAGCCATTCTGTTCTTTATTGTGAAGAAACAAACCCAAGTGTAAATCAAAGTTGAGAATTTCATAGTAAAGTACATCATTGTTTTCAATGGCACTTATATTAAGAAGTCATAACAACTGAGATTATTTCAAATATTTTAGTACTTACGATACTTGTTCCTCTTATGAATGAAATGAGGTTTCGACTGATAGGTAATAGAATTAGCATGCAGTTAAAATTCAGGCACAGTGCGGATGCTCGTGCCCAAGCCAATGCTGACTGTCCGTAGGTAAAGATACAAAAAAAGAGATACAGTGAAAATAAGGAAGCTAGGGAAAATAAAATGCATTTTGTTTTCTGGAAACATAATGTTTAATTACTAACTGGACTTACACCTAAAATAACTCGTGTGTAATGGAAAGACTCCTCCTCTTCATACCAACAGAATGTGTCAATAAACAGATATAAATTCACTCCCAGCCATGAGAGCTAGAGCAGAATGAAAAGAGAACCAATCAATGTTACCCTCAACCTTTTCTTCTATTCTAAATCACTTGGGGTTCTTCTTTTAAAGGTGAAATAAAAAGTTTCTCAATACTAATCAGGATTACACCATATATTTATTTTATCATAAATTAGTGTTTAATAGTGATTATAATAGAAAGAAATTCTTAACTTCATAAAAAATTTAAACACATATGAGTCAACTTTAAGTAATTAAATGAAATTACAAAACCTTAGCATTGCTTGACAATGATGTCAAGAAGAAGGAAATCTTTAAAAACAACTCAGAAAGTACTGTAGAAAAATTTCAATTTCATAGTCTAATTCAAAGACTTCATTTGATTTAGAGAAACATTCATACATTATGCAAAAACAAACTACTTGACTTTAAAAATAATTAAAAATGAACTCAATCGGAAAACAACTTCGCATGATTCTATAAGGGTAAATTAAATATAGCTGCTGAATGTTTTCTAGCAAGTTTGAATCTTTTAACTAGAGTAATATTTCAGACTATTTAGTGTTCCTATACAAGTTATCCTAAAAATCAAAGACTATTTAAGCTATATATTTAAAACTGAACAACAGAAATGGGATACTTACTACTAATAAGATGGAGAGACATTCACTCAAAATCCAGCACCCCATCGTGACACGTTTGGCTCTTTTGCTGTCAGTAAACCAGTTCTTTCATTCACCTGAATCTGGATGTTGGGTCCTCAGTTAGGGCTTCCCTACTAAATTAATTTCATCTTTTTGTCTCAGGAAGCACCTACTGGGAGCAACTCTCGAGGAATTTCTAATTAAGGACTTCTTGCCAAAGGCACATCACCAAGCTGACATGCCTCATGACCTGGGTAAACACAAGGCAAGTCTCTGTCTAATGATTCCTTTCTTCAAAGATCTTAAAAGAAAAGAAAGCTGGTTTTATTAAATTGTCCTCATGTACTTCATACCCCCTTCATTTTCTACATGATTGCAGTCAAGATGATAATAAGTCTCTATGTAAATATGAGAAATAACCTAATTGCTGATGCCTGCATGCAGCAAAGCATTTTGTCTCAAGCTTTCTCTATTTTTTTTTTTAAACTTCTTTACTTTCTTTCCTCTTTTTCAAGAAAGCTCTCCATAGAAAACATGGAATAAGGGCTAAATGGCTATGAATCAATCTTTCGGAAAACAGTGAAGAAAAAAAGATTCTAAAAACAACAACAACAACAACAGAAAATGCTCATAAAACTAAAAGTGTGACTCTAAAACAATAAACTTTTCTGTGGGTTAATGAAATAAATCTCATGTTTTCCCCTATAATCCCATGTGGTATACTTTTGAGGCAAATGAGAATGTCCCTTCATAACTCATAACTAGGAGGAGCTGCTTGGGAGTCTGGTTCTCTGGTTTTGTGTAAGCCATAGTTAAATACGATGATTGGGACTCTACTCTGTAGCAAAGTTATCCCAATTGAAGCCATTTTATTGCTATTTCTGACCAATATTTCAATGAACATTTTTAGACAATTTAGATGAAAATAGGAGATTAAAATCATTTGGATATCTGCCTAAGCTTTCTGAGTTTCATGTGGTAGATCATTTAGTTGTTCTACAATACGTTAAATTAAAAAAAAATCCTAGTAAAAATAATAGTTGTAAATATTCATTGACCAATATTTATCCAGGCACTAGAGTAAGGACTTTTCAAATATTGTCCAACTCAATCACATATGGACTCCATCAGATAGATGTTATCAGCCCCTTTAGAGAAATGTGGAAGCAAGCTCAAATGCAGTAACTTGCAGTAGGAGCAGTTGGGATTTGAATTCAGTTCTCACTGACTTTTACATCTTCATTTTTAACCACTACCTTATACTGCCTCTCTTATGAAATATTTATGTATGGATTTGCTCATCAAAGTATACTTACTATACAGATATAAATTGCATTTGTATAAGTTGAATGCATTTAAGTTATAGGAATTAAATTTTTTAATTACAAATAAATGTTGCTGTATGTGATTATATTATTTCTATATAATGCCAACAAAGTCTTAAAAATGGATAAATAAGTTGTCTATCATACTAATCATATTTTGTATTTTCTGCATTTTGTGATGCTTTGGCATGTTGGAGTCTTGCAGTCTTGGGGAGGAACCACTCAAGTTAGGTTAGTTAATTCCTAGTAATAGTGAACAACTTGTCTGTGAGCCAACCATCCAATCTAGAGTCCATATCCCCAACCCTCTCCTTTATCAAACTCTCACAGGCAGAACTAACTTTCCCCCTTTCCTAAATCACCCAGGACCAGGTACTTGACAACTAGGGACCACCCCCATAGCCAAGGGTCTGCCAGATGTATCCTATGATCCAATGCTAAGCCAGCTTCATTTAGATTTAAGCTACTTTGCCCCTTTCTTCTTGCAAAAGCCACAAAAAATACTGGGACCTATGTTTCTCCCTTGCTCCTTCTGCCTGGTCTACCCTGGTCAAAGATTTTGGTATCCTTTCTACTAGTCACCAGTCCTAACTGTGAGGTACCTCTTTTGAGCCTTATTTTTTGCATTTGTTTGATGGAACTCATCATAATATGTACCTCATAGCGTCAGTCCCGTTCGTTCCCTTAACACATACACAGATGTACACATACACTCACACTAAAGATGATGCCTCTTTTGGAGAAGTCTTACATTGGTCAGTAAAAAATTTGGTAGATTTAACTTAGAAAAAGCCAACATTGTAAAGGCATTTTTTTCCCTCTGGAAAGAGGTAGAAGCACAGGTATTTTGGAAGCCTTAACCTGAGATTAGAGTGCAGTTAGTAAAATATCTTTAGTAGCTTCTTTAACTGTGAGCACTATAAAGATGTAAAGTCTTTATATTCATCTCTTTAAGCCAATAATCTTCTACGATGAAATGATTTGCTATTTCTGAAGTGTTTAGGATTTCCGTATCTTAGAGACCTTATTCAGTCGGGTTATAAAAATTAATTCAGAGAGAATGCATCTAGAATTTTATCCTATTTCTTCAAGTTTAGATTTCATGAGTGTGAGGAAGAGTTGAAATTTTCTAGTCTTCTGTTCACTTTACAGAGTTTTGCAAATGAGAGATGTACTGCTGAATGAGAATGTATGGTCACTTTTTTTGTTAATTGTTTAGAAGATTTCTAGCACAACAGCAAAAATAAAATTTAAAGGTTTAGGCTTAAAAGTTAATCTTTACATGCTTCATACTTATATCTGAAACGTGATTTGTTTGGTCCTCATTTTGAATATGTAAAGAACATTATATTAAAGTGTAGTCATCATTCATTTATAGTATACAAAAAAGGTTAACAGCTGTATTATGAAAGTATAACTCATGATTTAACTTAAGACTTGCTTTCATATATTTTATTTTTGTAGAACTTCCAATGATTTTCAAGGCATTTGTATCGAAGAATCACATCCAAACTTCATATTATATTCAAATTCATTCAGAGTTCAACAGTTTTATGCAATTGATGGGCATATATTTTCTTTTCAACTTTTCTATTTTCACAGTTAAGAATAATCAGATGACACCACTGATTGTTTTACAGAATTGGCATTGTACTTCATAAGACTCAAGATATCATGTCTTCTATCACATATCAGAGTCCAACTCAGTTCATCCTGTGGGCTCCTTTTCAGAAGCATTCAGTTTTTTATCAGCAAGACAGTAGGTTGCTCTCAGTATTTGTTAATTTAGATGAAGAAATTTCTGGGATGCATATTATATTCAAAAGGTCTGCCTCAGTTTTTACTTCATTGAGGGAATCAGTACAGATCACAATTTAAATGAAGATTCTGAATCATTTTCCAAGAATCAGGGTCAAGTTAATGGAGCTGCATTAAAGAAGCAGGCGATTGTACAAAATCTATTGAAATGACATAAATGCTCAGAATTTTGTCTATTATCCCCTAATTGTTTTTGTTGCTAATAGGTAGTGCCCATCTCATTTCCCAGAATATTCTCCAAACAAAAGAAGTGAAATTTGTCTCGTTTGTTTCCACAGTGATTACTGTCTTTTTAATTAAATGAGTATAGGTATATTCAAGCCCATCACAAAAAGATGACGTGGGTTTCATTTCCCTTATAAAGTTCACCAATAACAAATCTTCTAAAATGGAAGAATGAGGAGGGAAATGGAACAAATATATTTACAAAGGCAGGCTAATTGCCTGTATATATGAATGCAAATGCTATACTAGCCATGCTACATTTCTGGACTGGATTAGTTCTATTATGTTTATGTTTAGTCTCTTGGTTGATCAGTTGACCCAACAAAGAAACACTTTTATCCTCAAGAGCAAGTTTGATCACCTAGTATCTTTTGCTGCTGCCTGCTATATGGTCTAGGTCCCCTGTAGCTATAGCAGAACTCAGAGTATAAGAAGAACATTGCTGAATTATTCTCTCCTAAGTAACAAACAGGTTTTTGCCTTTTCCTGAAAGTATTTATAAACATCTCAGGATTGAGGTGAAAATAAATGAAGAAAAAATGCAAACACATATAATTCCAAATTCTTACATGCTTATTTTGAAGAACATTTATTGTGATAATTATGTAATTATACTGGATAAATCATATATTGGATACATTTCATTTTTTTAAAGGAAAAGAAGATTAAAGGAAAAAAGTCCATGCATTAAAATATATCTGATTTTTCAGTACAATTTAATTCAATTTATCATGTGTCCTCCCTTTTGCTGAGTAAAGTATATGGTGTTTTTATTTCATGAAACATTGTATTCACTTAATATCTTTTTTAAATGGCTTGCGCCACACCCTTAGTTAACATTACTCAGTAAAGCTTTTTCCCCCACCTGTGTCATGAGTCTTTCGTTTATCCAACTCTCACAAACTCAAAACACCTCCTAAGACCACTGGCACAGCCAGAGTCAGAGATCTGGCTTCTCTTTTTAGAAGCTTACAATGCAGTTGGGATGGCGACAGGGACGTGTGCATCATTTAAAGGTAAGAGCGTCCTGGGGTGGTAGAGATTGCTTATTCAGGGCCTCCTAAGGCAGGAAGAAGTCTAGCTGAGGGACTTACTCTGGGGAGAATTCTCCATGAGGTGGATTGAGCTGGGTCTTGTAATGTCATGTGAAGACAGAAGGGAGGAAAAATAAGTTTGAATTTCTGGGTCTCTCAAAGAGTCATTTGAATGCTCCCCAAACATCCATCAGCAGGGAAAAATACTCCTGACTCCAACTCCCTTCTTGTGGCTCTTCCGGTCTAGTCTACAAAGCCCAGTACATCTGTGCTTGATTTGCTTCTCATTCTCCCGCCTTCATCTTCATCACTGCTCACATGTTTGCAACACATTTTTTCTGTCTGTTTATCAATTCTCCTAAAACCCTTCCCGAAGTCCTTTGGAGAGGTGCTCCTTCAGGGAGCACAGTTGCTGGGTTAATTGAGGATCTCAGTTCGTCAGAGAACAGATCGACTGACTCATCATGTCTTACTTCAAACTACAGGGCACAGGTCGAAGTCTCTGGTTTTGCCAGTTTAAAATTTTTGATTTAGAAATGTGGTGAAAGCCAGGCTCGCCATGCTTTCAATGTTTTTTTATCGCGTCGAACACACATGAGAACTTACTAAATGTTTAATAATGAACACAGAACCACATTCATTTCTCCACTTCTCAACACATAAGACAATTCTGTACAAATCCCTGCCCAGATCCTATCCCAGGGATTTTCAAGCAGTCAGCAGTTTTCATTAAAGTTTAA